GGGCAGGGCTCTCTGCTGGAGCTCCAGCAGAGACTCCAGACACAGCAGCATCTGCCTGGCTTCTCCTTGCTCCATCCCCCCTCACCACTCCCTGCTCAAGCAGGGATTCTCCTCTCCCACAGCACGGACCACAGCCAGCATGCAGTATACTAGCTAATACTGAGAGGTGTCTATGTAAGGTAGACAGGACAAAGGCAGACAGGACAATGTCCGCTTAGGGCTTGTTGTGGCTAATCAATAGGTAGCTGCTAATGTCCCTACATTTCTTCCTTGGAAAAATCTGTTTAAGAGGAGCTTGAACTCATGAGAGATGCTTTTGATTTTTTGATGGGATGATAAATACTATCAACTCCCTGTGTAACTAAATGCTTTGTTAACTGCCTGCTGGCCAGAAGCAGTGAGGGGAGGGGAAAGCCCTCCCTAATCAGTGTCCTGCCAAAGCCTGGCCATGCCCCTGCTTCAGCTCAGCACTATAGAAGGGATGGAAGGGCTGCTCTAGCACTCCCTGGCTTCTAGCCTGAGCCACCGCAGTCATGTGCCTGTATGTCTTCGGTCCAAAGGGGATATCTATGTGGTTACAAACTGGTTCAGGCCAGCCAGTTTAGACTAAGAACAGAAAGACAAAGGAAGCTGTGGCTCCAATATTAAGCAGCCAGGGTGAATCCTTACCAGAAGATGCAAAGAGAGCAAAGCTACTCAACATCTACTTTGCTTCAGTCTTCACAAACCTTTAACCTACAGACACAGTTTACAAGCATTATCTGGATAAGGAAAGGGATAAGCTGAGGGATAAAATAACAAAATACACAGTCAAGAGAGCTTTTGATGGGTCTGAACAAAATCAAAATCAGCAAGGCACACTTTTCTAGTTTTCCTATTACAGGATGCTGATTCAATAGTATATGACATGTTTTAGGGAAACTATGATAGTCTACTTTGCAGGGCAGCCTCAAGCTCCTCAGATTTTAAATTCCCAGGCTCCAGGTATTGTACCAAGAAGACTATCCAGCAGCACAAATAGAGGTTCCCTGACATCTCAGTGTGTCAAGGACTCCCACACACTCGAGGAGCCTGTCTACAGGGTTTTCCAGGGTCCTAAGCAGCCTGCCCAGGAATATCAGAGTTAGATTTCCTTAGGTTCCCAGGCTTCTGGGATTCCTTCTCATCACATCTGTACCTTTGTGATTCTGGAATTCTGCAGGTGTTTAGGCTCCTAGATACAGGGCATTTTCCATATTTAAAATTATTCTTGGTTTAGCAAAAAGTAATTTTTTTAATGTTCTTTTCGTGCAAAATTTTGCATATCCAACTATTTTATTCAAAATCAAAGTAAAGCAAAAAAAGCAAAGAATTTATGACTTCTCAATGGCTCTAAAGATTGTGTTATCAAAATGTGGGGTTTTGCCTCAAAAATATTCCCAAAACACGTACATGTATTTCATTTCTCCACAGACTTACTCAGCTCGTCTTGCATATCTCTGCTTGAGAAGTATACCTGTTATGCAGTTGTGACATGGTAGCGACTGAAATTCCAAACACATTAAGCTAGCTTCTAAACCAACACATGGGAACAGACAACTGCGAAACGCTCCCTGCTAAACACGTAAGAGGAAGGGTGGCAAGAAGGAAGTACTGTCTTCCACTTTACTTACAGTCAAACCCTAGACTACACTAGGCCTTGCTCTTCCCACTGTGGCTAGTCATAATCTTGTGAGCAAATGTAATGTAAAGGAAACCTTATTCCTGATTCTCACTCCCACACCATACAAAGGAGTGTGGCCTGTGACACTACCCAATAGTTCAGCTGAAATTCTCCCTTCATACTACTCGACACTTAAAGAATTAGTAATACTGCCTCATGCTTGGGTCATCTGAAACTACAGTAGGCAAAAACACTTGGAGAAAAACCTGCATTGCCTGAGGGATAAGATCTTGTCTGTTCTTAAGTCCTGTCAATGGATGGCTTACAAACATATGGTCTACAATTTTTTTAAATTACTTTCTCTTCTTTAAGATTGTATTGCACATTTTATGCCACCATTTCCTATTACAATCAAGCACCAATATAATATATTTATAAAATTATACGAGGTACAGACTTAACTGACAGGTATTTGGGAAGTGGAATACTTTGTTGCTACGTGCAACTCTGAAATATTTTGTTTTCAGGAAATTTTCCTTTATTTCATAGGGGAAAATGTGTTGCCAAACTCCAGCTCAGCAAACCATGCCACACATTTTCTGTTCTCTTCCTCTCAAACATGATCCTACTATTAAAACTGACACTTAATGAGACAGATTGCCAGTACTTCCAGATATTAGAACTGCTTGGCCTGCCTATTTGTTGTCTGCCATTTAAGTATTGTGAAGCTGTCCCTGTAAAATACAGATCCTGGTTTCTTTGCATCATGCCATAGATTTTTACGACAGTGTCACTTAATTTATCTTTGTCAACTCTGTATTTTTATTCTAATCAATAAATACGTAATCATTTTTCCTCAGTTTGGTGCTGTCAGCGAAGAAGTACAACTATACTAAAAGAGAATGTGAGAGAACTGGAATAAGCAAGCTGATGCCAATCTCAAAACCTAAATTCTGTATTCTTTTTCCTACTAGCATGATGTTGGAGCTGTACCCACTACCCCATCTGTACTACATAATTAAACTTACCCCCCAAAAGAACCCTCTGAAATTTAAATAATGAGCAGCTTTCCCTCGCCCAGAACACCTCATGTATCAGTGTCCCTGCACTTCAAAATGGCAGCAGGGGAGCTTTATCTAAAGCTTGTCAAATGAGCTTTAGTTAAAGCGCCCCCACTGCCATTTTGAAGTGCAGGGACACTGAACCATCAGACATGGAGACTGGCTGGAGCATGGTAATTACCACACTCCAGCAGACTCAATTAATCAAGTCTGCTCCGATGCACTGTAATTAAAGCACCCAGAGTGTAATTACAGTGCGTCAGAGCAGACTCAATTAATCAAGCTTTAATTGGCCCCTGCCACCATTTTGAAGTGTGGGGACACTGATACATGAGATGCTCCGGGCGCTTTAATTAGAGCGGCTCTTGGAGCCACTCTAAGTAAAATGCCTTCCCCCTCGACCCCCCAGAGCATGTTGAAAAACACCCATATATACTAATGAAGGCTGGTCTGTTTCGGAAATCAAGCTTTTGTAGAGGTTCATAAAATTTTGTTCATACTTTTTAAAACATTTTCTTGAAAAGCATTTAATGTTTTCATCTAAGCAGTGTGGAAGTACCTCCAGGAACACCTTTTTTCATTATATTGTTTGCATACTATTGACGAGATTTCCAGGAGGTTGAAGAGGCAAGTAGTATAGCCAGGTTCAAAGAGGGATTAGACAGATTCATGAATGATGGCTCTAGTTGTCATTATTAAGCAACAGAGTCAGAAATGTTTCCTTTGGCATCTCTAAACCAGTGATGGTGGATGCCAAGAAGGGTAATGGATAGGGGATGGATCACTCTTGATGTACTCAGTAAAGTGCCCTCCTTTTGAAGCCGCCACTTCTGCCACTATTGAAGACAGGTATGCTGGGTTGGATAGGCCATTGGGTAAGTATTGCACTTCTCATGTGCCAGTGAGTTTTCCCATGGTACATACACTAGGTCTTGAATAAATCTTAGCACTTTCTGGAGACACTCTCCCCTTTAGCTGTGCCAATATCTTAGTTAAAAATCTGGAGCGTAATTACAGTGCATTGGAGCAGACTCAATTAATTAAGTCTGCTGGAGCATAGTAATTAATGCACTCCAGCCAGCCTACACACCTTGTGTATCAATGTGTAATTATGGCGCATCAGACCAGCTTCCCGGCTGTGTACAGGCACCCTGTAGTTCGATTTGAGAGACAGATCAGCCTTCATAGTTTAGTGTACAAAGTTATTTATCTAAAATAAACTATCCACAGTTCATCAGATACATACAGGAATGTCCTCCGATTGTGAAATAATTTTTATTGTTTTATTGTCATGAAAGCCACCCTGTGTTCAGACTTTTTAAAAGTGTTATTTAAGAAATAAGTCTAGTTAGCAAGTCAGTGGCCTAAAACTGACAGCTCCTTTTCTCCAAAGTATGATTTTAACAATGCTTGATTATACAAGTCCTGGCTGATTAACAGTATTAATGTCAGGCCATATAACTGAAATCTCCATATCCAGTGGTTTATGGTGAAATTTTAGACTGGGTTAAAATAATCTGGGTTCTGTTCTCAGCTCTGCCACTGCCTGTGTGACCATGGACAAATCAGTTACTCCCTCTGCACCTGTCTTCCCTCACAATAAAATGGAACTAGCTAATTTTTCTCTCAAAGCCATTCTTGTCTTTCAGATGCTTAGCTATTTCAGAGACTACAGCAATAACTAACTATATAAAATAGACTTTGATGAAAAATTCAGGTCCAAACCATTTTGATTCAGTGCTTGTTTTGCGTTTTATCTGAAAAGAACTGGTGTCACTCCAGTTGAAACCAAGTTAACTCAAACAGCTTTACTGCAATAGGACATTATTGGGCTATCACAGGAGAGATGGCCAAGACAGAACAGGACTGAGGGAGTCTATGTAGACTGTCTCAGCTATAAAATACTTCAGCTCAGGGACACAAAACATGCTGTCTCACAGGTAGTCTCTTTCATAAGCTCCAAACTCACTTTTAGACAGAATATTCACTAGATAATGAATTAGTTACTATAGTTTAGCATATATTTCAAGGAAAACAGAAGTCTGTCATTATGTAACATACAGAGTACTGGTGGATAAAACTTACTCTTTATTTGGTATAGAGCCTTAACAGAGCAGAATAAAATAACTGTTTACTCTCCACTATAACTCAGCAATTTGGGAATAAGTAGCAAGAGAAAATAATGTAGCAAAGTTTCCCCTACATACAATAAACCTTCCAGAGGTTCTTAAGTATAAATAAACCCTCTATCTTTGATAATATATTATTCCATTAATTTATGACAGAAAGGAACTTACAAGTAAAGGAATCTCCTGACAAATAATTGCTTTGACAGAGATCTGTGTCCCCCTTCAAGGTTCTTCCCAGGTACATTTCCTGAAAAAAATAGAAATAGAGTAATGATTAAACAATTATACAAAGTAGTCTGCACACATGAAGCTCATATCAAGTATTTGTACATTGCCCTATACAGCATGTTTTAGATATTAATGATATCTTTTAAGTATTATTTCACGCTGGAGATGATGCCAAGTTTCAACTGGAGGCATATATTTACATATGGCCTGAACATTTTCCAGCCTGAAAGGGTGTCTAGATTCTCTTCCCCTCTCTTGTCCTCTTGGTGCAGTCAGGAAAATAATCCAAAATAAACTCTTGAAATCATGTGGGCAAGGGAATTTAACTGTAACTGATACTGAGAAATGGAAAACTGTGACTACTTGCCTTCCTTCACTACACATAATTATAGTCTGAGGATAAGCAAGGTAAATGCAATAAAAAGGCAGGTATCAATAATAAGAGCTATGTTGTAGGGTTATTGTAGCCATGCCGGTCGGTGCAGGGAATAACTTAGAAGTAATTATCATTTGGCAATATCTTTTATTGGACTAACTACATAGTAGGAAGAGACATTAGACAAGTTTTCAAGCACAGAATGCCCTCTCAAGTTTAGGAAAGAAGCACATACAGCCTAAGCTAAATATCATATGACTATTTTCATTTAAGCAAAGGTAGTTGTTTTACCTGGTATTCAGCTTGGGCTGTGTACTGATGTTCAAATGACTCAGGAGAATTATCCTGGGTTTGTTTTCCCAGTAGAAAAATGTACCCAGAGAGCTCTATACAGATGTTAGAAGAGCTGAGCCGCTGAGGAACAGAGACCCTGCAGTGCTGACACTACCAAGCCGGGGGGGCACACCTTCCTATGCTCTGTAGGCTCCCCTGTCTGGAAATGGATGACAAAGTGCATAGGACAGCCCTGATTAGCTGACCCAGACTACTAAGGGTCATGTGCAGCCCGAGAGCACAGCGTGGGGATGGTGAAGGGGCTGGGCTTTCCAGCCTTGAAGCACTCAGGGGACATTTTCTGCTTCCTGTTTGGCAGGAGCAGTTGAGTCCAGACCCAGAGACACACCATCTCCCTTGACACATGGTGGGAAAGTAAGAGCAAGTCACACTGGGATGCCAGAGGACTATGCTGTGGCTCCTCTCCAGAAGCCCTCTGGATCAAGGAATGGGAATCATGGGAAGTCACAAACAAGTTCCTTGTAACAGACCCCACTCATCGACCTGCTGGCTATTACAGAGATACTGAACAATCATAGCGATAGTGGTCCCTGTTAAACAGGTTCAGGACAGGCCAACCTTTGCTGCTGGGGCCTCAGTGCTAATCCACTGTGCACTTGTAGAGATACAAACGGTGCTGCACATCACCAATGAGTGTCCCCTCTACAAATTAAGAGGGTAGATTAATAACTATGAACTCAGTTAACGAGGAAGCCATTGCTTGGCTTGGCAGATTTGCATTTGCTAAATAAATAAATCTCAGAAGGGTAAATCTACAGACATTTGGGGATGCTCCAACACCCTGTAATTACAATACATCAGAGCAGACTCAATTAACCCGTGTAACAGTATCTGTGCTGAAAAATTGTGGCAGGAACACTTTAACTAAAACTAATTCAATGAGCTTTAGTTAAAGTGCCCCCCCCCCCCATGTTTCAGTGCAGGGATACTGACACAGATGACGCTCCAGGAGCTTTAATCAGAGCAGCTCTCAGAGCCCCTCTAATTCCTGAATCATCCCTGACTCCTCCCCTAACCTCCGCAAGTTTTCAAAGAGGATAGTCAATGTCTCTGGTATTATCTTTGCCAATTTCTTCAGTACCCTAGGCTGTATCCCATCTTGCCCTGCTGATTTGCAATCACATAGCTTCTGTAAGTAATCCCTAACCTGTTCTTCTACTACTATAGGCTGCTTGTCTCCTTCCTTCCTTTGTTGCCAACTGCACTCATCATCTGATAGATGCCCCTATTTGTGAAGACTAAAGTAAAAAAGGCATTCAATACTTTAGCCTTCTCTGCATCATCTGTAACTAGATTGCCTTCTGCATTCTGTAAGGGACCTAAGGTTTCCTTGGTCTTCCTCTTACTTCAGGTATACTTGTAGAGTATTGCCCGTTTTATTGCCCTTTATGTCCTTTGCCACTTGCATCCTATACTGTGCTTTGGCCTCCCTAGTTTTCTCCCTGCATGTCTGTACAATATTCCTATATTCTTTCCTAGTATTATAGCTATGTTTCCACTTTTTATAAAATTCCCTTTTTAATTTCACCTCGTTGAAGAGAATTCTGTCTAGCCAGGTTGGTGTCCTAATGCACTTGCCATTCTTCCATTGCTTAGGGTAACTTGCTTCTGTGTCTTTAGAAAGGCTTCCTTACTCCTTTTCCCCTCAGACTTACTTCCTAAGGGATCCTGCCCACCAGTGCCCTGAGTTCATTAAAGACTGCTTTTCTGAAGTTCAAAATTTTTATTCCGCTGCTCTCCTTCCTTTCTTTTCTCAGGATCTTTGAAACTATCATTTCATGCTCAGTCACCCAAGTTACCTTACCCCCTTACATTCTCAACTAGCTCCTCCCCGTTTTCCCCGACTTGACCTCTGTACTAATTGTATCCCCAACACTCCAGGAATTTTCTGGAGGGTTTGTGTACTGTTTCCCTCTCAGCATATGTCCCAGTAATTGAAGTCTCCCATAAGAGCCAGGTCCTGTGATTTGGAAGGTTCCATCACTTGTTTAAAAGACGGCCTTGTCCACCTCTCCTTCCTGTTTTGATGACCGGTAGCAGATGCCTATCATGACATACTGGTTGCTGCTCTCCCTCTAAACTTCTCCCAGAAACTTTCAACAGGCCTACCTTCCATTTCATACTAAGCCTCAGAACATGTGTCCATCACCCTTATATATAAGGTAACATTTTTTTCCCCCTATCTTTTTTGAACAAGCTATACCAATCTATGGCCATACTCTAGCCATGTGAACTATCCCACTATGTCTCCATAATTCCAATTACATCATAATTCTCTGATTGAAGTAGGACCTCCAATTCTTTCTGCTTGTTCCCTGTGCTTCTTGCATTAATATGTAAACACATTAGGAATCTAATGGAATGTCTTGTCTTCTCTCTGAGAACATTGCTAAGGGTTCTGGCTATTGCTTCTCTTTTACTCCAGCACCAATGAAAACAAATAGTTGTTTTGCATGAATTTCAAAAGTACCAGGAATTCACTCATGTATTTTAATGCCAGAAGAAATTATTCTGACCATCTGGTTTATCTTCCTGCACAAGCCACAGAATTTCACTCAGAAATTCTTCTTCATGTATACCTTCGGTTCACCTTTTCCTTGATCCCTCCATCCTTTCTGTATTATAGATTTCATAGACACTAGGGCTGGAAGGGACCCCAGAGGATCATTGAGTCCAGCCCTCTGCCCCAGGGGCAGCAGGGATCATAGGATCCCAGCAAGATAAACATCCAAATGTTTCTTGAAGGTATTCAAAGTGGGTGCTTGAACCACCTCCGGTGGCAGTCTATTCCAAACCTTGGGGGCTTGAACAGTAAACATGTTCTTCCTTATGTCCAGCCTGAGACGGTCACGGAGGAGTTTGTACTGTTCAACCTTGTCATCCCTTGGGGCACTCTGGTGAACAAATGTTCCCCCAGATCCTGGTGAGCACCCCTGATAAACTTGTAGGTGGCCACCAAATCACCCCTGAGCCTTTCCAGGCTGAAGAGTAATACATTTGTATTACTTTGTTGTGGAAAGTTATATAGTTTCACAAGTCTCTTTGCTTGTGAGCTACATTGTCTTGAAAATCATACTTAATTTTGTATGTGTTCTAGAAATTATAACGTTCATCACAAGTTGATTATATATTCATCTTTCCTTAATACACCAACACTATTAGACTAGACCCCCAGTTGATAAAGCAAACATAGCTACATAGATTTCAGTGGGGTTATACAGATGTTACCAAATTAAAATATGCCTACTGAATCTACAGAAGCAATTCCTTGGAATAGGTCCATGAAAAATGTTTAGTTCATTTATGTGAGATAATTCAGTGAGAACAGAAACACAGAGATCCAGGACAGAAACTCCCCTTAGATACAGATTATAAGAAATTCCTTCAACAATAGAAATTATACATCTTCAAGTAAACAGATTACATTTATATTTACCTCTGAAAAGAGTTTATGAGTTTATACTTAAGCATTCAAAATATTCGAAGACACATATGACTGCAAAGCAGATTTAAAATTCTTGGCCTCTAGAGAGAAAATTACAATATCAGTATATATCAACTAAAGTTATTGGTGTCAAAGAGGTCCCAACCTCTGGTAAAGTACATTAATATAAACATACACATACATACAGATGTACCATCAGACAACTATGCATTTTACATGTACACACTTACCTATACACTGTCTTCATATTCATATTGCTAGACTTCTGTAAAAAATCAGTTGGTCAAATTTCCATGAAGGAGGTTTTAATTTTCCAAGTGGTATGTTTTATTGAGCAAAAACCAATTTGTAAGGTTATAGAAGAGCTTGTAGCAACAGAGAGCATATTGAACCAACAGGACCATAAAATCTGAAATTAAAAGTGTTTCCATGCCTTTCAATAGAGGAATAAAATTTGAAGCTCTAAGAGTTATGCAAGAGACAATTTACAGAAAGAGGAGATCAGGGTCACTGCTATTTTTCCATTTAATAGAAAAAGAAATTGGATGGACCTTGGGGAAAAAAAAAAAATCACTGACTTGCTGAGAACCAAAGAATTAAGTGGAAATTTACCCAACTAAGCCAATGATATATGGCAGTTTGAACTCAGGTTATTAAAGTAAAAATACTATTATAAAAAAATATTATTCAATTTAAAGGCAACCAAACAACTCTACAAGCAAAGTAAGTTTTACACTTGAAAACTAAGCTACAGACATTTCCATAAAGGAGCTCCTGGTATATCCAATGAATTTTGTTATGTAGCTTAGTAATCATATATTGCTGTTGTTTCAACAAAAATTAC